AGAGAGAGAGAGAGAGAGAGAGAATTTTCACAATTTAGATTTTAGAAAACAACATTACGATAAAATACTCTTCTTTATTTAAAACGTTATAATTATATTAAATTAATTAAACAAATATTTTAAATGCCTTAAATTATTTATTATTTTAATCGATTGCATTAAAACTGGCCAATTATTATAAAAGCGTCATGATTATATATTAAGCAAGTACGTTATAGTAAAATACATTCTTGTAATTATCAAATGGCAATACTGTACTAATACTACCAAAAAATATTATTAATGAATTTAACCATAATCTAAATTTATTGGGACTGTTTGGCAAAGTAGGTGGAGTCGCAAGTGTCGAGACCATCGTCATCATTGACCGTACATATGGGACACACAAACTTCAACTGAGCCTGGCCAACTTCATCAGCTTTGCAGTGGTAGTAACCATCGTTACGGCACTCGCCTTTCAGAGTTAAATCATCATTAGCACCGGGAACATTGGCCCTAACACCACAGTGATCACCGGCCACACCACCGCATTGGCACAACACCGGGTCTATATTAAATATAATCATGGTTAATTTAATTTAATTTTACAATTAACTGGTTATACCTGGGATATATTCAGATTGGCACCAATCATAACCGGGTCGTGCGCTGACGTGACAGTTGGGACACACCTTATAGAGCACAGCCTTCGCCTGTCTGTACGGACAGTAATATAATAGAAGCCATTCTTCAGACAATTGCCTTTCAATACGATTCCGTGAATCGTCTGTTTGTTGGCAACACTACCGCATAGATTGCCCGCAACTAAACCGCACGAACACTCGTTAGCTGTAATGACGGGTCGTATTAATAATTGAATTAGTTTAATGGTACACATTTTTATGTTGTAAGTTTTACTTACCTTGAGCATTCACATCGACAGCATTGCAATAGATTAGGCTAGCGTTAAGGCCAACAATTGCAACTAAAAGTGCGATGGTGAGTTTACTATTCATTTTCAACAGGTTTACTGGTTTAATACAAATGTATTAATAATTGTTGTGAAACTGAATGCGAAAAATTATGCCAAAAATTCTGCCTTATATACCAAAAGGGTTTATATTAATTCACATCATTTTGTTAATTAATTAATTTATTATCTCAATAAAAGTATTTCAATATATTATCTGTGCATCACGGTGGATAAATATTATAATATACATATGGAACAACCTAATTTCTTTATATATTTGTCAGAATTAATAACCGAATGTAGTTATCATATTATATTCTCATGGTATTACACAAAAAGAAAGCGACTTTATTGATGTTTCCTATTTTACTATAGATTAATATTACAAATATTTAATTTTTATTTATAATTTATTATTACTGTACAAGTTTCTTAAATATACTTATATAGTCCCAGTTCATCTAATTAAAATTATGTGTATTTATTTAATATTTATAGTTCCAAGAAGTGAAATTAGAAATTAGTATTTACAATAAATAGATATTGTAATTACATCTAATCATTTGGCCTAGATCAGTTTTGATAAATAATAATGCCCATAAAGTTATTTCACTTTTATAATACGAAATTTTAATACAAGTAAAATATTTTGTAAAATAGAGTTGACATAAGTTAATTTATAAATTATCTAGACTAAAGTAATAAATGCTTAATTTCAAGTGAAATTGATTGTCGTTTTTACTTATTTATTAATTGTACATTTTAATATATAAATAATTTATTTTAAGGATATTTATTTTACGATTGAAGTTCTAAGAAATAGCTCCAGATATTACACTGTATACATTTAAATAGGTTGTAATAATGCGCAAAGATAACATAGTTTATTTCAGTTTTCTCGGAAAATTAATGGGTTTATTATAAATATAAGTTTTACATGTTTTGCAATCATTTTATGTGACAAATCACAATTGACAGAAACGCTTCATATTCCTATGGCATTACTTTTATAAGGTTGCAAAACATAATTTTTAGTTTATTATTTATACAAAGAATCTTCTTTACTATTTAAACCGGCGATATAGAGGTAGAATGACATTTGAGTCATCAATGAAATGCAAATATGCAAATACTGCAGACTGACACCTTATTAGTGTTTTTTAAGTTTGACAAAAAAAATTAATTCAATTATTTTGACTAATTATTTACGCGCCGTAATTTCGAGCTGTGCCCTCGTATTTACTAATTAATTTTGATTTAATTTTGTTTTTAGGTATACAATGAAAAATGGATTCTCAAAGCATTCTAACATATATGTTGTTTGTCGATAGCGGCCATCATTGATGACCAGTTGCCGATCGACTGTCCATTTGGTCACCGATGATAGGATTCGGTCACAATTCGGTCGTTTGTTATATACAATGTTTGACATCTTTTTGACAATTTTGTATATCTTCTTAAAAGACTTCATACTTAAATGTTGACAAGACTTTGAACTAAAAATACAACATAATCAGGTATATAATATGAAAGTAGGTGTTGTCCAAGTAAAAATAATAATGTAGTGAGAACCTACCCGTTAAAATCAATCTCGAACAATTTCTGTCCAATTATACTTAGGCAATAAATATCACATTTTGTATTGTATGTTGGGCCAAACATTTCATTTGGCGCATTCGCGGGTGTGCACATACATGGCGTATGCTGACTACGAGTGTGAAATGTGGCCAAACCAAAATCACATAGCTTTATAAAACGTTTCTCATTTACGTAATCGTACGATATAAGAATGTTTTCTGGTTTTAGATCACGATGCATTATTGGTATTTGTAGCGAATGTAAGTATTGCACGCCTTCGAGAAGTTCACGAAAAATTTCCGCGAACATAAAATATTCAATTAGACTCATTTCCTGACCAAATTGCCTGTCAAAAGCCCCTAATCGTAATTTCAAAATATTTTTCAGTGTATCATGGCAATATTCCATCTGAATGAACATGTTATTATTTTCCGACCAAAATGAATGGTATTTAACTACATACGCGCTCTGTACGTATATCAACATTTCTAGCTCTCTAATTGATCCTACATCTAGATTAATTTTTTAAAAATCATAATTAAAATGTTTATATTCAATGACAATATGGTTAAAATTATAAATACTTATGTCAATCATTTTAATGGCGTATACATTGTTGGTGAATTTATGTTTGGCCTTGTAAACTTCCCCAAATGCACCAGCGCCAATACGGATAATGTCAACAAAATATGAAATCAATTTTTCACTAGGTACAATTAAAACTTCTTGAGATAAGCAATCCGGATCATTATTATTGCTCAACGCATTTGTAATTTTACATGTTTTATCATGTTTTTTGCATTTTAAATATAAGGATATAGCCAGATAAAATATAATTAAAACTCCAAATAATATGAGCGCTGGCAATGTGTAGATTAGTGCCCTGCTGTCCCATAAACCATTATTGTCACATAGATCATTACCTGTACCGGCACTTTGTTGACACGGATGGGCGCACAATGACTTAAGTCGGCCCGCAGTGTATGACTCGCGGCACACATACAGTCCGTCGGGATCGCACTCTCCGGTTAATAGTTGGCCGTATTCTGTGTTCTTATGCGCTCGACTTCCACAGTGACTGCCCAGTGGTTTGCCGCACGTACAGTTGCTAGCTGCATTTATTATTTATGGATAACAAATGTACAGTATTCTTAATTATTTTTAAACAAAAAAATTAATTTTTATACCAGGATAACAATCATCCGAACCAGTCTTGATATTTTCGTAACATTTGTCGCATTCACTTATAAAACGTGAATTATGGCCATATTTGATGCAATCGTAGAGACGATTTGGTAAGCAATTGCCGCTCAAAATGGGGTTAGGATTAAACTCATCTTCACCAGCCCGGGTGCCACAGTGTTGTCCTAGTTCATTGCCACAACTGCACGTGCCAGCTATATAATCATTAAATAGAAATATAAGTTTTACTAACATAATCTATTTTTATATGTTATAAATTTACTAAACTGCATTTTGCTTGACCGATCTCATTTTGATAACACTCTTTACAATGTTGAATAAACAAAGCCTTTGTGTTTGGTTCGTCGCACTGATAGATCCCGTTTTCACTGCATATCCCTTTTAGTTTGCTTTTCGGATCGTCTGAGCACAATCTCCCGGTGCTTTCAGTGCACATACAGTGGTCGGAGTAATTACAATAATCATCGCCGTATGTTTTTTGGAGTTCGGCGCAACTGTTCAGTGGACACGTAATAACTGAATGTGCAATACCTCGGGGTTCGGAGCATTTGTATAAACCGTCTTTGTTGCAATTACCACTCAGCACATGGCCGTCCGGACTGTCCACGTAAGCCCTATTTCCACAATGATCTCCCATTAGAAGACCGCACCGGCATCCTTCACCTATGATGCATTATGTTTTTAACATAAATACTTGGTGATACATGGATTTTTAGACAATATCATGCTTATATTTTACAACCATTTTTGATTTTTTTTCATTTTTATAAGTATCACTATACTAACAAGTACTTATTACGGCACTTTTCATAATACATGATAAAATCCGCTTTTATTAGTAAGAGTAAGATTTATATATTCTATTCGTGCGCATATATATTATTACCAAAGTATTGCGTTTACCTAAAACACTTATTTTTAGCTGTTAATAGTATTACGAACAGACTCGGGATGTGAACCGGTCATGTATAGGGGGTCAGGCCGAAAGTATATTTAACTTATATTTACTTGTATGAGGCGTTAGTAACTATTTTAACTATTTCTTAATATATTTCTAAAGTAAAATATTAATAGTTTTAGTATTAGGTTTTTTATTCAAATTATTACATTTACCAAAAGTGTAGGTTTTGCGCTATTGGTGGTCACAAATACACCATTAATTTCTTATTAATTTTATCAAATTCATATAAATAAACTGAATAGACGCTATATTTAATGTGTTAAAACTAACGAATAATAACTTTTTAAAAATGAATTTAGGCCAATTTTATCAAAGTATAACTATTTGGGTAATAAGTATAACTACCTATTTAAGTGACTATTTGGGGTGTTTTTCATATCTATTATAGTGATTATTTGGGGTCTGATATTCACATTTAATGCAATGCTCTAATTATAATCTTCTAGAATGTTAGAAAATAATGTGCTCCCTTTACTAATTTTTAACCACAATTCAGTATGAATGATGTGGTTAATAGGATCGTTCGGCCCCCTCCCCCCTCCGCCCCCCCCGCTCTATGGGATTTAACATGGGATTATAGCTTAAGTCTATGGCTATACTTTAACATGGGAAAGCTCTCATAAGATTAACATGAGGAGGCT